ATTGCCATTACGTTAAATGCTGGTCCCCCTAACAGCTTTTTAATAGAAGCTAAGTTCACTCATCTAATGGCATCACTATCTCTGTACTTTAGTAAATTTTTTCTTTTCTTTTTTGTTTTCTTTTGTTACAGGGTGCATGTACTCACCAGAGAGAAAGGGAGGGACAAAAATCATCCCCCAGAAGAAAGCCACACCAAAACCCCTTCTCCAACAGTCTCTTCAGGATTTTGGGCATGCACACACATGCGTTTGATATCTTTTTCAAGCAGCCTGGTCCAACATCCGAATTGCACAGCCTCCCATGTTAGATCCAGCTGCCTTAACCTCCGTGCCACCTGCTAGCCCCAGTAATTTTTAATCCAGTTGTAAAGACAAATTTTTGCCCATGTGTGCACAAGAAATCACTTGAAAATAGCACAGAATCAGATGTTTAACCGACTATAACTGATTATGCACCCTAAATTATGAGTATTCTTTAACAAATTTAAACAATAACGTTTTCATAATGCAGTTAATATGGCAATCTAAATTAGTTCATGAATTCAAAGTCTTATCAATTTCTATCAACCATGATGATGAATAGTTGTCAAAGAAATGAAAAAAGAAATCTTCACTCTAACAAATGCTTTTGAAACTAACTAACGGGCTACAATCTATAAAATTAAAACCAACCGCCCAATATAACACCTAGCTATTGCCCCATTTTCTATTCTCTCACTCAACATTACATTTTCTTTTCAAACTCAGGAACCATTCCTACAAATAAGAGTTTACTTGCCAGTGAACCTAATTGTGAAGCGAAATCTCTTCTAATTTTTAATTAAATTATCTTTGTTTATTAAGGAATATAATCTCAAGGGTTTTATTTCAAGTATTTTATAAATTTAAGCAACTTACTATCATACTAGAAAAACAACAAAAAGGCATTTGTTTTAATAAATTCCTTATTTAACAATCTATAAAATTCATTGATATGCAGCAAGAGTAAGGCCTTATTGTTAAGATAAAAAAAATACAATTAGGAGTAACTTTATGAACTATCATAGTGGTTAGCATATTAAAAACAAAGTATGTTTCTTGGGACCAGCAGTTAGCGTAATGGCTATGTCGCTGGACTCCCACGTAGTCGACCGTGGTTCAAGTCCCGTACCCGGTGGCTTAAACTCACGCAGTTATATGGTACAGGCATTCACAGGAGAGAGATGGTGAGAAGGAAAGTAAGAAATCACCACATGGCCACACCACAGTCCCTTTCTCCTGGAATTTTGGGCATGCACACACACATGCCCACTGTGTTTCTCAAGGTGCAAGATCTGAGACTCCAGCCCTGCTTATGGCCACATGGGATTTTTAAGCTGGGGGATCTGGGACTTGAACCTCAGTCATAATTAACCATGTAGGAGTCCATACTTGAACCACCACACCCTGTGCTCCTTGTCTTTAGTTTAGATGTTAAGTCCTTAAAGAGGTCCCAGGGACCCACCTAAGTATCAATAGTTCTCTCCCTAATTCCTCCTAACATATTACTTTGTGGTTTTCCTCCTTTCTAATGTGCTACTTGTTACTATTTGATGATTTGTTTTCTGTCTTGTCTCAAGAGACTCCAAGGTAGTAGGAATCGTGTTGTCTTATTTGAAATCCTGTATTTCTAGCACTAGAATAATAGTGCCTGGGGGCCAGCAGGTGGTGTGGTGGGTAAGGGCACTGGACTCTCACACGGTTAACTGCGGTTCCAGTCCTGGACCTGGCAGCTTGTTTTCTCACTTTCCCTCTTTCTTCCTCTCTCTCACTCCCTCTGGTCAAGTTAAAATAAAGAAATAATTTTTATTTAGAGGTTTTTTTCCTATAGGGTGCGGCGCTAGCCAGAAAGACAGAGGCAGAAAGCGAGAAATCACACCCCAGGGGGATGGACACGCTGCAATCCTTTCTCCATCCTCTCTCGGGATCTTGGGCACGCACACACACGCCCCTGGTGTGAGTTTAAGCCACTGGTCCAGGACTCGAACCACGTTCGACTACATGGGAGTCCAGTGACATAGCCATTACGCTAACTGCTGGTCCCAAGAAATAATTCTTAAAAAAAAAAATAATAATGCCTGTCATGTAATAGGCACTTAATAAATTCAAATGGACCACATTCTGAAAGCTTAGTGTTCTCTTCATTTGAAAGATGGTGCTTGTATATAGTGAGAGCATGAGGATTAAATGAGGTAATGTTATTTAAATACATCACCTAGCACAGATCATGGTTGGTATTAGATATTTAGTTTATTGTGATTTACTACTGATACCTGTTTCTAGTTTATTTTTGGAGGGCAGGAACCCCTTACATAGTCATGTCTCCCATGATGCCTATTGGCTCGTATGTAGACTCTGGTTTAAAATTTTAAAAATTTAGTTAAGCTGGTCATAGTATTTAATACTATTTTGTGTTACATGCTACATACCATTGGAGTTCTTGGTGGGGATATGTGAATATATTAATAGCTTGTGAACAAGAATATATACCCACTGGTCTGATAGCTTAGATTCCCTTCTCCCTAGTTTGCTGTTTTCTGTTGTATATTTTCTTGGAACTTGCAAAAAATCATGACTTGGAGTAAGAAGATATTTATAATTTGATTCTTCTCCGATATAGAAATTAAAATTAGCCTTTTGAAATTGTGAGAAGTGTTACCTTTAAAACAGCCTGTATTACAACAGTGAATTGGTAGTTCTGACTTAATGCATAATAAAATTTCATGATTGTACACCATGAAGTTAGTGTACTGTCACTAATTCAGGAAATTAGATTTTTCTTTGCCCCTTTGGGAGTTTTGATTTTTAAGAACAACTTGTATGCACCTTAGATATCCTTTTATTTATTACTTAAAAAAATAATTATTTTAGTTAACTTTATTTATTTGCTTATTTTTTAAATTGACCAGAAAGGGACAGAGAGAGCGAGCGAGAGCGCGTGCGTGCGCATGAGAGAGGGAAGAGTGCAAGCAAGCAAGCCTCCAAGTCTAGGACTCACACTGAAGTTGACCATGTTGGAGTCTAGGGGCTCTAACCAGCCATGCCATCTGCTGGCCCCGATATCCTTTTATTTCTATACCAAGCCTACCTGCTTTTTGTTTTTGCTACTTATATTTTCCTTAATTATTAGATTTCCATTCCTCTTTCCTAACCTGACCCTCAGATATCTTTATCTTTCCGGTTTTTAGGAATATTTATATTTAGAGGAAATCATTCTTTCTTCTTTTTTTTTTTTTTTTTAATTTTATTTAACTGTTAAATTATTTGACCAGAGAGGAACAGAGAGAAAGTGAGGAAGCAAGCAAGCCATACACCAGGTCTGAGACTCAAACCACACTCTGCCATGTGGAAGTCCAGCGCCCTTAACCACCATGCCATCTGCCAGCCCTTAGAGGAGACCATTCTTTTTTGAGAGTGTTTAGGGCACTCGTGCTTGCCATAGAGAGAGGAGAGAGGAGAAAGCACCATCACAGGGAATGGTGATGTTGCAGTCCTTCTCTACCGCTTTTGCCTGTCAGGATTTAGGGCCTGCTTGGCATGTTTCTCAAGCCACTGGGTTCGGGACTCAGATCACACAGTTGGCCTCATGGGATCTGACTGCTTTAAACACCAGACCACAGAGCTGACCTTAGAGGGCACCTTTCTTGATTTACCAATTTAGTCTTATTTCTTTATATTCCTAATTTCCTTGCATTCTTAAAAATCTGATCATTATTTTATTAGATTGGTGAATTTTAATTTTTTTCCCCTTCATTTAAGCTTGTTTATAAATTCTTTGCAGGGATATGCCAATCTTGTATTCTTTACTTTATGCACTCCGGCGGTTTTTTTTTTTTTTTGGTAAGAAATATTTGGTTAATTTTATTATTATTTTTAAATTTGACTAGAGGGAAACAGAGAAAGTGGGAAAACAAGTCACCAGGTCTGGGAATTGCATTCAGGCATGTGGGAATCTAGCACTTTAACCACCATGCCACCTGCTGGCCCTGTCTATGGTGGTTTTTAAATTCTTTTTTGTATACTGAATATTATAAGGTCAATCTTTTCATTATTGATAATTGCTTAATATTTTATGCAAATTTTAAGCTTGTTTGCTTACTAAGGATTAGTTTAGAAAGCGTTTGAGTTCGATTAGTATTTGTTTCATTGGTTACTTTTCATTTGAATGTCTTACACTTATTTGGAATTATTTTGATGGCTAGTATGTGAAACAGACCAAATCAGAAGGAAAGTGCCAAGGGAGAATAAATGTCAGAGGATTAAAGTAAACTTGTATTTTAGATGTTATAAGCTGCTACTGTAAATATTAACTACAGATTATATAATGTATTTTGATATACTAAGATGACACATAGTTTGGAATTTACTGGTAGAGTGGCATCATGTCTTCTGTTTTTTTCTTTTTTCTTTTTTTTTTTTATGTCTGGTGTTTTCTAAAGCCCATGTTGCTTAAGATGCTATCAGTTTCTTGATGCACTGCTACAATGTATACTTTTTTTTTTTTTTGGGAATTGAGCTTTTTTTTTTTTTTTTTTTTTTTGGGGATTTTTTTTTTTTTTTGTGAGAAAGAGATATTTTTGTTATAGGGCATGTGCCCTTGCCAGAGAGACAAGAGACAGAGAAACAGAAACAGAAAGGGAGAAACCACCACTCAGGGGGATGGCCACACCATAATCCCTTCTCCTCCATTCTTTTCTCTTGGGCATGCACGCACAGGTGCCTGGCATGAGTTTTAAGTTGCTGGATCTGAGACTTGAACTATGGCCGACTACATGAGAGTCCAGCAATGTAGTCATTATGCCATCTGCTGGCCCCAAGAATCGAGCTTTTATGGTTAAAAGTTTACAGTTTTCTAAGTCACCTTCTCCTGAAATCATTAAATGCCTTTATTAGAGTTTATTCCTGTGCCAGTGTATGCATTGTGAACAGTGGATATTTCATTTATCATAAGTCAAACTAATATTTTTTTCCATCTTTGCTAGGAATTTGAATTTAGAGTTCAGTTTCTCAGAACAGTCTCTCCAGGAAGAATTTTACAGTATCATACAGACTTCACTTCTTGATCAAGAAGTCCTGAGGTATATCGCATTTATTTTTCTAGTTTTCAGTTTTGACTTATTTGAGTAAATGTGACTATTGGAAGTGATGAGATCTGGGGGCCAACAGATGGTGAAGTGGTTATATCACTGGACTCCCACTTGGCCACCTGTGGTTTGAGTCCTGTACTCGGTCTCTTGAAAATCACACCTGGTGTGTGTATGTGCACATCCAAGATCTTGGGCAGAGGGTGACTTCTTTGTTTCCCTCTCACTGTCTCTGTCTGTCCCAGCTCCCATCCCCACTAGCGCATGTGCCCTAAGGCAAAAACCTCTTAAAGATAGTGATGAGATCTGAAGCTTTTTGTTTTTGCTTGCTTTGGCAGCTTTTATTAAGTAAGCCAGATTTTAAAAAAAGAATTTTATCTTTAATTAATTTGTTGTTACTTTTGATTTGCTCAGAAAGAGAAAGTGAGAAAGCGAGCCTTCAGGTCCAGGACTCGAACTGCAGTTGGCCATGTGGGAGTGCCCTAATCACCAGGCCACCTGCCAGCTATAAGCCAGATTTTTAGTCTTAGGAAATAGATTCTTTTCATCTCTCCTGCTTCTAGGTTGTGTGTCTGCCTCTTCTTCTGTAAACGTATCTACTGAAAGACTTAGAATATAACCAAGCCAATTTTAAAACAAAACAAGATAAAAAGACCTTGCTACTTAAACCTTCTTCCCTAATGCAAACAAGAAGAATTTTATAACTTTTTCTCCCTTATTGTGATATTAAGGTAATTAAAATTAATTGCTTATTTGCCAAATACTGTATTAAGTGAATTACATATATCACCTCATTTAGTCCTCTACAACTTTTACATAGTGGGTACTATTTTCTTCTTTGTTTTACAATTGTGGAAACTGAATTTTAGATTGAGGAATTTGCCCTAGGTCACCCCATTATAGAAGCATTTTAGCCTGTATTTGAATCCAGGTGGCCTAAATGCTGAGGTCTTGTTCTCAGCATCTTTTAGCCAAGTGTATTTTTGCAGGAAGGCAGAAAAAGTGTATCAATCCACATTTCCTTTGGACTGTAACTATTTGACAGATATGCTTTCTTCCCATTCATTTTTTTTTAGTTTCAGGTGTGTCTGTTAAACAAAACAAAACCCAAACTTAAAAATGTCCCTGCTTTCAAAAAATTCTTAAGAGTCTGGAGAGTCTGGGGAATGCATTCATCCTACAGTTATTTATTAAATACCTGTAGTGTTCATATGCCACATACTACGCTATATCCTGGAGATAAACACTGGATGAAAAAAACAAAAGGCATAGTCTTTGCCTTAACCTAGTTTTAACCTAGTTTTCAGCCTAACAGGTCGTTCATAGTTAATGTGACTCTGCATTTCTACTCATAGAAATAAAAGTACCTGATTGGGGGGACCAGCAGTTAGTGTAATGGCTATGTCGCTGGACTCCCATATAGTCGACCGTGGTTTGAGTCCCAGACCTGGTGGCTTAAACTCACGCCGGGCGCGTGTGCGTGCCTCCCCAAGATCCCTAGAGGTGAATGGAGGAAAAGGGATTGAGGTGTGGCCATCTCCCCTGGGGGGGGTGATTTCTCGCTTTTTGTCTCTCTCTCTTTCTGGTGAGCACACATGCCCTGTATCAGAAACCTCTCCCCCCCAAAAATAAATAAATAAAAAGTGCCTGATTGGGGGGCCTGTAGTCTTGAGAGAACTCATTTTACTGAGACTTCATTAATCTTAATTTTGTGATCCCATCCCAATAGATTTCTGGACTTGGACAGTCTAGAAAACTTGCCATGCATCATTTACTAATAAAGTGTCATACTTCCTAATGGTTCAGATTCCTTATTTTGTAAACTGTAAATGTGATTTTACTGATTTCATTATATTGTCACAATAAAACGGTAGTTTGCTAAACCACATTCGTCTTGTGTTCTGCCAGGTGCCACAGCTCCCTGTGTTAATGCTAACTTCATGTGTTGTGAATTTCTAATTCCACTTTTTAAATCTGATCTTTATAATTTACTTGTCTTTATGTATTTCTTGCTTACTTGGGATTGAGAAGAAGAGTAAGAGTAGAAGACAAAGGTGATTGTTAGATAGTTATGTTTCATTTTTAAATAGACATCTGAAATCTCTTGAATTTGTCGTTCATATTCTTTGAGAAGAATGTATGCAGACATTATCGCCTCTTCTGTAACTCAGCTCATCCTAGTAATTCCATGTACTGTTTTATAATACTGAGCAAAGTATAGGTAGGTAAAATGAGTACTTTAAAAATACTTGGTTATGGGAGATTTACTTTAAATATATGGAAAGTATAGCTCTTGAAAATTCAGTAAGTTGATTTTTATGGAAATGATTACGTGAGTGTAAGAGAAGATTAGGAAATAATTACATGTAGTAGACATAAACTTGGGAGGCTAAGACTGTATAGTCAGTCTTAGGAATCATTGAAAAGTTGAAAATGTGACATTTGATATGTACGTGCAGTGATTTGTTCTAGCTCTGTATTTAATTTTGTGAAGTGTAGTTCTTAATTCTGTTGCTTGTTAGTTATTTCTTTACCTACTAAGGTCTAATTATAACATTAGATAATTTGTAGGTAAAGTACTGAATGACCCAAGGATTCACCCCCCCCCCCCCCACACGTCTTGATACTTTTT